AGTATTGACCGAAAAGAATCTAAGAATCGTGTCTGCTCATTATTGGCCATCTTAGCTATTGCCCGTCAGTGCCCTATTAAACTCGTCGCGAAAGTCCTGGACCGATGTAAATGGCAAAAAGAAAAACTCAAAGGCCAGGTGAGTCTGTTTGCATTCCGCAAGATTGCCTTTCACCTTCTCTACGAGCTGTTTAGCGTGCTTTAGGTATCGATCCTTAAACTCAGAAATGAACTGTTCTGCGGTTTCTGTCCCAAGGTGCTTATATTCACTCCAGTTGTATCCAATTAGACAGGCTTGGTGAATACGATACGATCCAACTGGAGAAGTGCCGTCCAGATAGTCTGAGACAGCACGCCTTAGCTCGTCGTCCGCTTGTTTGAAATGAGCCGTGACCAGAGATAGCTCATGATCTTCCCGTCCCGACTCGTAAAACGACTCAATACTCTCGAAAGCCGCGTCGAGAGCTTTCCCATAGGTCGTGTAGAGTTTCGCTTCGCCTAGGTAGACCTGCAGTTGATCTTTTGCTTCGTTCCACCTTATATGAATCCCATCACCTCCTTTAACTTCTTCTGATGGGTTCGTTTTTAAGGACATTTTGCAAACAACTTGTGGTGCCTTCAATACAGTCTCTAGTAGAAAGTAAAGCAGTATTTCTCCTGGTTCTCCCGCTCGATCGAGTTTGCGGAAGAGGTCTCTCGCTTTTGTGAATAACCTTGAAATCCCATGAGCCGTCAAGGTCTCCGGCCGCTGACGCGCTGACTTGCAGAAATAAATTACGTGGTCAACCATTGCCTGTGCGAGTGCTTTAGTTTTCGGGCGTCGATTACCGTCAAGCTGCAAATAGTGGAGACGAATTGTCGCCTCGACTCCCGCGATCTCAAAATCGTGATCGACATGATCGAGGCATGCATCATAGTACTCTTGGATTGCTTCTAAGTACTTCTCAATCGTATCGAGAGATGAGTGCGGTGTGCTCGTTGACATTATGTGTAAGGCAGTTCTAGCAATGACGATCCAGTAGCCTACTCGCCGTCACTGACCTGATTGTGACGGCGAGTCGCGTAGGTCAATTGGACGACTAGACGAAGGGCAAGGAAGGGGACGATGGGCACGATTCGGATAATATTTACAAGCAGTAGCAGGAGGCAAGTGAGGCGAGATTAGTCGAGCGGTCATGGTTTTGCAATATGCCGGATGACAGGATGATATTGCCGCAACCTTGTTGCATCAAACACATCACGTTCGGAGCTTACGGATTATCCAATCCGCATTGAACGCTAAGCGGTGCAATAGTTCTGGCCTGCTATCAAAATCCTGATACATGCGTTATGAAGTCTTTCAGCCGATCTTGGCAGGGAGATTTCGACGATGTCAACCAAGAGACCCAAGCGGCATTCGTCCGATCAGATTGTGCGAGAGCTTCGTGACGCGGATGCGATGCTCAACGCAGGCAATGACTTGGCAGGGGTCCTTCAGACGCTGGAGGTCAGCCAGTCGAACTACGAGCGGTGGCGGAACCACTTTGGCGGCATGAAATCGGAAGAGGCGAAACGGTTGAAGCAGATCGAGGACAAGAACCGGCGGCTCAAGCAGTTGTTCGCCGATCAGGTCCTCGATATTCAGATGCTGAAGTTCATCGACGAGGGAGGCTGGTAAGCCCTTCCCGCAAACGTGAAGCGATTCGGGCGCATGCCGCGAGTTTGAGGGCTCGCAGCGGAGGGCTTGCTTGGCGCTCGATTAACCGCGCCGGAACGGCCAGACGACTGTCCAAACTGCCCGAAGTCATCAGATGAGCGGATGACGCTAACTAGCGACCGAGCAATTGGCTGCAATCAATGGTTCAGAAGTGCAGTCAGGATACGTGTCGGTGTAGCAAGATGTAGTTAATTGCCCAAATTAGACCTGAATTCGTTGATATTAACCACAATTCGCGAATCGCATATTTCGGCCAGAAAAGCTTGTATTTTCTCGAATGTCTTGAGCGAATCCACTCTCGGGCTTCTACTTATCGTCGATGAAGATGAGTACGATGTTCGGAGAACGATCATCGCCGTGTGCTGAATTGACAACTCCGCACAACGAGAGAATGGCAAGCAGAATAGCGATAGGGATTCGGGGCATGGCAGGTTGATCCAGTGGAAGAAGCACGACGTAGGTAGGTACTGGAATAATAACCTGAGTGGCTGTGCCCTTCAATTCATTAGGACGAGTGAGAAACGGTTTCTAGGTTGTCGTCGTAGGTTGCTGCGAGAAGGGACCATTGAAGGCCCTTCAGCTTTTGTTGAACCATTTCACATTCCTCAACAGCACGTATTTGAAACGACTTGTCCTGGATAAGTTTCTTCAAATGCTCGACCAGACCAGGGATGGTGCCGTCGTAAAGCAAGTGGGGCTGATTGTCGACCAATTCAGGATAGGCCAGGCGACTAGGAAGCACGGGGATGTTGCCTGACAAAATGGCCTCTGCTGCCGAAATACCAAAAAACTCATGAACTGCCGTCGAGACGAATAGATCTGACGAGGCCAATAAGTTTCTATAGTCCGAGTGTTGGGGAAGAAATCCCCATTGAACAATTCGATCGGAGAATGCTTGGGCCGCTTCCTCAAAAACTGCAGGCGTGTCACGAAATGATTCTCCGACGACACTAAGACGGAACGGAATCTGCATCGCTTTTAACTGTCGAAGTGCGTCAAAGAATGCGTCTGGATTCTTGTCCTTCTCCCACCGAGCCGCCCAGACTATGTGGGGGACTTGGAAATTGATGTCTTGTCTCGTAATTTTCATAGATGGCAAACCGGGCGATGCAACCCGTGTTCGCTCACGTATGGCAACTAGTGCTGTTTCTAAAGTGAAGTCAGGGAACTTCGAGAGAAACTTGTGACACTCGGCCAAGAACTCTTCGCGGTGATAGTTCGAGTTGAACCAAATCGCGTTAGCGGCCAACATGGACTGGAAGTTGTCGAATGCGAAGTGGAAGTCACGCTGCGTGCGAAATTCGTCAGGATAAGTTAGCTGGTTTTCATGGAAATAGATGACTGC